TTGAGGATATGAAGTGTTTAGGCTGTGTTTAAGTAGAGAGCACTGCTGCTGCTGCTGCTGGCTGGCTCTAAGCTCTCAGCTGTGGGCAGCCTTTCCTGATCAATAGCGTGTGTGCTAAAGCTTGGCACTTGAGTGTGTTAGCCTAGCGCTGTAGAGGGCAGCGAGACAGTGAGGGCTTGTGGAATCAAAAGGAGAAAGAGAACCTCTGTGACTGACAGGCTCCTGCCCATTGGTTTCAACTTAATGGGTTTTATGTTCTTTTAATGAGTACAGGCAAGCACACCAAAATTACTGTTACTGTTACAGACTGTAAAGACATTAGGTTAAAAAAATGATTCCTGTTTTATCTAACATTATAAGCACTTGATAGCACTGTACAATTTAAAGCAAAGCATCTTCATTATTAACACATACTGCATAAACAATGCAATATAAAGCAATAAGCCATGAGAGGCTTATTGCTTCATTCAGTGGTCCAAAAGCAGCCATGGCAGCCTTATAACATTTTTCTCATCAAATTACCACTTCAATGATAATGCTAAATTCTGCCACTGTGATTTACCGTGTTCTGTTAGCATGAGTTTCTTTTCCCACACTGGGTTTATAGCAGATCTACCAAAACCACAGACACCTGAAGCTTGTTAGACATATTTTCTATTTTGTATGTTACAGTTTTACAGTGAATCCTTCAATAAATACTTCATTTCAAAGCCTATAACATTGAATCTGAATAGAGGAGCTGATCTTCGTAGTCCTGGTTGTTGAGATAGTAAGTTGGAAGAACACCAGGTTCTTACATAGTGTATGTTTATTACTGTTTCAGGTCAATAACTTCATATATGTGTGTATATAATGGTGCATTATGACAGAATTTAGATGTGAGGCGGTCACAGGTGTGCATATATTGGGTGTTTCACAATGGCAATGCTCAGACAATCCACAGTTAAGCCCTTACAATCCCAGGCTTATTACATTCTGAGGTTTAGTGAACAAATGGACTACAATGCAAACTGGCAGAGCTATTCTTATGTTATAGAAGTGCATAATAAAAGTTTGGATCCACCAGTGGGTCCTATCCATTTAAGAGGTAAAGTCTTTCACGTGGCAGGTGAATAAAGGGTTTTGCTCTATAACATATTATAGACCACTTTCAAGAATTTTCTTTTTTTTTCTTTTCATGATATACGTTGTTGGGATTGGGCTTTACACGTACAAGAAATAGTGATGCTATATTATAATTTATACCATTGTTATTAGAGGAATAAAAATGCGTTTTCCATTATATATCAGCTGTTATTCTTTTTTTAAATTTTTCATATTGGAAATAGTTACAAATGGATAGACAGTAGATCAAATAGTTAAGTGTAAGTATAGTTCCAAGTAGTTATAATGACTCAAAAGAGTTAAAATCCTAAAGTGCCACATTAGTGAGAAATGCTAGCTTGTTGGTTCCACTGTATTCACTGCATTCCTAATTAATATGAGCCAATATAATTCCTTAATGTAAAAATTCTGGTAAGCCTTCTGCTTTGACCACCTGGTTCAGTGACTTAAGTCAGCTTGCTTTTTCAGTATTCTGCACTTACATCAGCAAGCGTTACGTCAAAACGCTCAGCCGAACCACTTCGTACTGCGCACGCTCGCTCTTTTTTGCTTTGTCCATTCTTTCCCATTTCCCTCTTTATCTCTACCTTTCCTTCTCTTTCTCACAGTCTCTCTCTCTCCCTGAGGTGAGATCCACCTCGGGCCTGGTATGAGGGATGCAGAGGAGAGGAGGGGAGGTTGCTATGGTGACAAATTGTCGGAGTTAACCAGAGGGGAAACAAATAAAGAGCAGTTAGAGTGGAGAGCAGTGTGTGTGCCAGTGTGTGTGTAAAAGTGAGAGGGAGAGAGAGAGAGTATGCATGCACTGAAACTGAGTTGGCCACCTGCACGGTTGCCATGTTGCTCAGTTAAAGCAAAAGGATGCTGAAGTGTTAATGCAGTCATAGCTAAATGCATCCAGCAGAACAGTAACACTGGGCTATGCAGCTCCAGCATCTGCCCATTGGCTTCTATTAAATTTGTGATGTTTCAGGATCTGCCCATTGGCTTCTGTTACACATACCTTTTCTGTTATTTTACTGGGTACATGGAAACTGAAACTGTTACCTATGGTAAGTGACCATGCAATATAGATGTGGGAAATATGCCTTCAAACACTATAACTTTTGAGTTCATTCTTTCTCATGGATACCTTGATCTCCCACTACTATTCCCTCCTCTCTCTGTCTCTGTACTCTTTCGCTTTTGTCTCTTTCTCTCATGCTATCAGCCCTCACTGTATCCTCTAGATGCTATCAGAGATAGATGTCTCGCACTACTCACTCATTTCACTTCAGTTCCAGCTTGAAACAGAGAGCCTGAGGCCCAGCAGCACTCTTCTGTTTCACACCTGCTTCATCTCGCACACCTGAAAACTCTTCACTTTCTCTCCCTCCATCCCTCACTTCCTCAGTCTCTTCCTCACTCCCTGTGCTGTTTTGTCCTTGTCAAGTGGCTTATGAAATTTAATGCACATTCTGATCATATCTAAGTGTTTGGAGTCTATAACAAAATCGAATCATTAACATGGACAACACTGTCAAAAGTCTTAGTGGGTTAAACTAAATAACACCCAACATCTGAGATTGTAGTCAATTAAATTAAGGTCATATTTTAAACAGGTTAACGTGATAATTAAAAAAAAAAATTATGTCACTTTTTTAATACCATTAATGCATTTTCCAAGTTTGAACTATCGAACTATATGTAGTGGCTCCAGGCTCACTCACTGTACATTGTTATAACAGAAGAGCTACTCACACACTGTATGTTGTTATAATAGAAGAGCTACTCACATGCTGTATGTTGCTATAATAGATTCTGCGACTGTAGCCCTCTCATTCAAAACTAGCTTTTAAATACTAACATTGCTAAAGTGTCAAAATGCCTTTCATCCCCCCCCTTAGCCCTTTGTCCATAGGGACCATATATGGAAATGAACTGCCATGCAAAAAACAGTCCGTTCTGAATTTGTTTATTTTGTGACGTCACAAAAACCCAACGCATTTACATATACCAACCTATACAGCCAACAGCAGCTTAGCACCATCAGGTTTCAGCCTAATTTTCTTTCTGAATGAGTCACAATTCAGGGCAGCCAATTGTAACAGAGCTCTTTTATACACACACACACACACACGCATAACTTACTACATAATTAAATATGAAACTATGGAACTACAGTCTATATTTGATTAGTTTGACAGGAAAAATTTCCAAGGTTCAGTTTAATGATGTATTCAATGAAGTTGATATTCTCTCACCTTCAACACGTACAAAATCACACAAACTCCAGTTAGCTGAACTGGATTTAATTGGGTGCAAATCAATGTAATTGATAGCAGCAATTATGACTAGTGAATTCTACACTACACATTAAACCTGTGCAAAAAGATCCACACAAGCAGTTACATTTTTTATGTAGGCTGAACACCTCATTTTTTTCACTGTCACACTCACAACTTTCCCACTGAATCCTCTCTTTTTCCATTTATGATCCACAACTCATAATATTTACAACTTTTTCTCCTCCTCTCATCCTTCCAAGGCAAGTCCAAAGCAATGGGCTGAAAACTAGCCCCCTTTTCACTGGCAGACAGACAAACATTCCCCCTGCTTTTCACCCCCTTTGCCTTTCACCTCCAGGGCCTCCCTCCCACCCTTCATCTATCCCTCCATCCCAGCCATCCATCCGTCCACGCTAAATACAATAGTGCTCCTTTCCTTCAGGCTGGACGGAGGCTAGGCCTGAGCTAACAGTGGGGTGAGGGAAGTGTGAATGTTAGCAAGCTCCATTGTCCCGTGCGGACGGGGAGTTAACACCCATGTCTGAGCCCCATGAATGGAGTTATTGTGTCTAAAAACACCCAGCTCGCCCCGAACACCTCCTCAGCCACATGCTCCCACATAACAGCGCTTGCGAAAGTGCTTAGCATAAAATACTCAACACAGTCCATAGCTGCATGTGTTAAAATGAAAAAAAGTTTTCTCCTTATCTCAAAAGCAGTTCATTAGCCAAAACATATCTGAAGTTAGTTTTGCTCTGAAGCTACAAGGCTAACTTAGGTTCGAAGTTCCTTATTACCTAATGGATTTGAAGCATATGCTAATTAGTATTATACAAACTGTCACACACTTACCTCAAATGGTGTCACGTTGTAGCTAAAAACAGTAGTAGTGACCATTTTTCCTTCTGGTGATAAAATTTACACAACTTTTCCCCTGATTCCAAATGTCAGCCAACATGACTGGTGTTCTGAGTGTGCGCTTGAGCTTTGAGGCTAATCTAGCTGAGATGTAATGGAACCTTATGCTAATTTGCATCATGTAAACTGCCTACCAAAATCATTACATAACTCCGCACAGGGTTGAGTTGTCAAGTAATTTCATATAGACCTGCTCTAGTGATTTCTAAAACTTGTATGACATACTGCTATCTATACAACGTGGCAAAGGTCTGTTGCTAAAAACAGTAGTAGCAGCCATTTCGAATACTGACCGTACTTTTGTCTATTTGGCAAAAAATAATAAAAAAATAAAATTTCAACAATTTCCCCCTTAGCATAAATGTAGTCCATCAGCCAAGACATGTTAGGTATCCTATGTCTGCTTCTTTAGTTTTGAACTAGAGCTATGAATCTAATATATTTAATAAGTAACTTATGCTAATCAGTATTATGCAAACCACGTTACGTAAACTCAAAAAATTAAAAAAGCAAATAAAAAAAGACAAATACAGCAGCATTTATCTTGAGTTACTTGAATTTTGTTCATATTCTGATCATTTTTTAGACAATAGTGCATATATATACATTATTATAATTGATTGTAGATTTGCTTACACACTGTGAAGCCCACACTTGAACATATTTCTGAATCCTTCTCTCTGTTTCTTTGTTTTCCTTTTTGTTCTGCAGAAAGAGAGAGAGAGGAGAAGAGAAGAGCCAGGGAGTGGGAGGGGGAGATGAAGGATGGATAGCGTTAGATGGATGAACTTGGAGCGGTCCGGCTCAGATTGTGATCGCCGGGGGCTCTCCTGCTATCTTCCTCCTCTGCAGGCCCCTCTCTCCAGCCTGCAGAGCGTGCTAACGCACCGAGGCCAGCTAGGGTGAGCTATCATGGGCTTGGAGAGGTAGCCTGAACCCCCCTTCCTCGGTCAGCACCACCTCTGGAGCCCAGAGTGAAATCAATATGAGGAAAGAGAGACTGATGCTGGATCACCCAAGCTAGCCCCCCAGCCGCGAGCCAAATGACCTCACACACACATAGACACAGTCACACACGTTAGCACTACATAGTTATGCTCTCTCTATCTGTCTCTCTCACTTACAAAGATAGTCATGCTAACACGCTAACATGCATACCGTTATGCTCTCTCACATACACACAAACACACACCAGGGTGAGCAAAGACCTCGCACAAGTCCCGACTCCCACACACCTAACCGTGTGTATGTGTGTGTGTGTAAGGTTTACCTTGAGGGCATGTTATTTTGGACCAGCTCTCTACAATCCAAACAGGCCTCAATTATTTTTCCTGAAGATGCCAAAAGGTCCTAGCTGGCTTCTCCCCTCTTTCTCTCACTCTCTCTCTCCATCACTCTACCTTCAGCCATGCCGCCTCCCACTCTCGGCGCGAGAGAGAAATTATTCAAATATGTTTGTACAACGATGAACTTCCTCCCCCGAGCATCTCATTGCCCATTCTGTGGCAAAGACTTGAAAGAAGAAAATCCTTTGCTGCGCCGTGCCTTGCTGTGCTAACACTCCTACACTCCTCCACACCAGGGAGGCTAACGCACCATGATGCCTCGGCCATAATGACCACCTCTCTCACCGAGTTTTCCCTCAAGAACAACGGCCATCAGTCAGTCGAGCCATGGGACAGTGTGGACTTAGCAGAGCCCAGTACAGCATTACATCAGAAGTGGTGCTAAATCAGCAAGCTCAAGTGCAGACCACATCAAACTTCAACCTCAGCCAACAAGGTGAGTCGGTCTAGTATGCTTAACAGTTAATTTAGGTCAAAACTTTAACTGTTTTAAAAGAAACTGAATCATTGAGATGAAAGCAAAGTCATTCAGAGGGTTTTGTTTTGACATACGCTAGAGAAGCCTACTGACTCTGATGTCTTTACAGTGGTGGTGATAGGAACCAGCAGTGGTGGACAGTAACTAAGTAAATGTAATTCGTTACTGTACTTAAGTAGTTTTTTTTGTGTATCTGTACTTTACTGAAGTATTTCCATTTGGGGTGACTTTTTACTCTTACTCCACTACATTTCAAAGTCAAATATCATATTTTTTACTCCACTACATTATGCGAAATTTGTTGTTCCTTTTGGCTTATGAAAGAAGCGTGAAGCAGCACATCAATCAGGGTACAGCGCACTTTGTTTTGAGCTTGTTTTGACCGGTTGGACGTACCTACCTAGTGCAAGCATACGGTTCAACGTCAGTGCAGCAGCATAAAATTTTGGGAGTGCCTATGCCCACATAAATGATGGAACTAACCTAACTTTGTGTAAATAGACCACAATATAGAAATATGTACACATATGCAGTTGGGACTGGCATATGTCTGAATTTATACAAACACTATTTCATTTTATTGTACATTTGTTTTGGCTAGTTTATGTTTATGAACAGAGACCTACAGATGCAATATAGTGAAGGAAAACACATTTGTGAACCTGTGTTTAAAGTTTTTATTAAACTTAAACTTGTAACTAAGTTGCAAATAAATCTTAAACAAACCTTTGCTTGTTTGCTAAAAGTTATTTCACAGCCACTCGGTTCTACCTAATGGAAATTGTTTGCCTTCAGTGTTTTGTGCTAATGATAATTTTAGTAGATATCAGTGTCAGACTAATTAATGACATTCTATTAAAAGATTGGTTTACCAAGAGTGACACTAGAGTATTTTTACCTAAAATGAGTTAATGAAGCAAGTGTCTTATCACAAAAATGGTAATAGGACATTAGAGTCATAATTTTTAGTACTTTTACTTTCGATACTTAAGTACATTTGAAAGGAAAATACTTTTGTACTTTTACTCAAGTGGAGGTCTAAAGGGAGGACTTCTACTTTTACTGGAGTAATATTTTACCTTGGGTGTCTTTATTTTAACTCAAGTACATGATTTGTGTACTTCGTCCACCACTGGGAACCAGGGGTTTATTTATTATTCAAAATGACCAGTGAAACCTACGTGTCTTCTGAGTTTATGTATGTAATATTGATAACGGTAAAAGAGTGGTACATTTTTCTTTGGGGACTATTTTGCCTTGTAACACCCTGCATGTACCTCTCCACCATGAATTGATTTTAAAAATACGTTTTAGGTCAAAACCTTATCTCAAATAAGTTGTAGAACAATATCTCAGGCATCAGGCGACTTATTCACAACTATTTCATGTAATGGCGTTCAGTGAGGGAGATTTTAGAGGTATTAAATGATTCAGATGTCTGCTACCTTTCACCACGACTGTGAATAATTCTGACTCAGGAGGTTCTCGAGAATGGAATAGTTCACATCAAATCCTTACTGAAAGACTTTTGTTTACATCTTAATGATTTATTCTAAAGAAATGAAGAATTTTGTGGAAGTTTGTGGAATTCATCTTAGCTACGTAACTTACTGTAGTTTCGCAGTAAGTGAACTATTTCAAACAGGCCCTGATGGCACCTGGCATTTGCATACGTCTTGGCTGAACAAAGTCCAAGTCATCTCGGAGACAGACTGTGATCCAGTCACTCAAAACACTTTCAGAGGGGGTCAGGGACACATATGACCATATGACATTTGCAGTGTGAAAGCTAAAGCGTCCCTGGCAACAACAAAGGACCACCTATGCAATCTAAACATCTGTAGCAGCCCACACATGTACACAACCAAGAACTCACTGGAAATGTTTGTCTGACAACACATACAGTGAGAGACTAATGTAGTAAATTTGCACACGCAGTCACAAAGTCAGATCACATTTGGTTACTTTGAGACACTTGGGAATACCAGATGCCCACTTGAGATTAGGTTGCTTGGATGGTAATATCAGGTATGAACAGGGCCACAGTGTCAGATTCGCATAAGCAAGTCTACTTGAGATAACAACCCGATGTGGTTTGAGGCAAGTGCATTATAATTTAGTTTGCTGCTTGCAGATGCTAACTGGCAGGGTGTAAGCTTCCTTTACTTAGCCATATTAGCCCTGTAGCTCCAGTGTGAAAATACAGAATCAAACTTCAGACATCAAACATGTCTTGGCTCACTATATTTGGAATAAGCGATAAATGGTGTAATTTTTTTTTTTACTGAATAATTCATAATAGTTACTGAATAAAAAATCTAAGGAGTCGAATACAAGCTTAATATGTGTCCATTCAGAGTAAATGCTGTTATTTAAATAAGGCTTTGATTCTTTTTGAATATACTTTAAATGCAGATTTTGGAAATGACGCAAGAGACACTAAAATGTTACTGTACAAGCGTGAATGCAAATGCAAAAGGGTAATGTCCTTTACATTATCGTGCTAAATCTCCTCGAGCTAGCATGGTAAATGATGCATTCCATTAATGAATGCATTCTTAACTGATCTGTTCACATGCGCAGATTTATTTTCTTACTTCAACTGACAACAGCTATTCTGTACTTCACACTGCTGGCTCTTTGGCGCAATGTAATAGCGGCTGTGATAAATTAAGAGTGCTTTTCGGGGGTTGGCGATGCCAATCTGGCCGCCGTTGTCCTGCTGCTGGCGCCGAAGAGCATCTGGCTGGCACAGCCGCAGACAAAATGGCCGCCACCATTGCTGACTGGCCTTTTCCCTCCAAAAGATGGCGGCACCTTTTTTGCCGTTTGCCATCTGTGCGGCCGTTAGGCATATGCAAATGCGGCCTAATTGCATTTGCATATCCTTGATTTACTTAGCTGGGCCTGAGAACACGGCTAATCGCTTGTGAACACGGAGGCTAAGCATGCAAATCGCTCAACGGGGGCATGTTGAGAAAGGAACACTGCCTTGGCGCCTTCCCCCTGCCTTCTTTCCCTCCCTCTCTCTCTCTCTCTCGCTCTTTCCTCTAATCTTTTATGCCCTGCATTAGCCATGTTTTATAGCTGTCAGCGGGGCTAGGACAGTGCAATGCTAACGCTGCCATATGGGACGTAGGCTATGAGTTAGCGAGACAGCTCCGTCTCCACCGACAACTGGCCCCCTGTATGCAAATCTCTCACTGTAAAGACAAGAAGGGGGTGGGGGGGCGACCCATGACTGTCTCCCAGGCAGACAGACCATAATTACCTCATCACTATGCACACGACTCGCTAGATTTGCTCAGCGAGTGCATCGTCGGACACATCTGTGTGTGCGGTGTGCCCATTGTGGGGGACATGTGCCATGCGGTAAAGGGTTTGGTTCGTTTTCGACCTCCTATTGTGAGGACAGATCAGTGCCATAGCGTGGGCATCATAAATAATTTATGATGCCATTGATGCTAACGTTGGCATCTGCTGTAATTGATGTGAGGCTGGTGTACAGTAACCGATCAGCTGCCTCTCGGAAATATCACATTTAGTTTCAGTTTTGCTAGCAGCTCCACTTGTGTGGTCACACTGAAGGGGATGTTTAAATCTAATTACAACAGACACATTCGTGGTTGCCTTTGACAATGATGTTGGACTACCTGACTAGCAATGCCTGCGCTAGGGTGCCACTTGACACTGTATTGTGTGTGTGTGGGTGTGAATATGACTGGCAGCGACAAAGCACAACCCGCACTGCCTTTTGTGCTGCGATATGGATGTAAATATATTCACTGTCAAAGAACACTGAGAGCTCTTTTAGCAACATTTTTACTCATTTTTTTACCAGGTGGCAAACATTTCATTTCCTGCGCTTACGAAAATAGCCTCTAATTCTGACACAGAAGTTCTATTTTTAGATCAAGAGATGTCAAAAATCTAGGACATCACCATCATTTTTTAGCCCACCCTAAAATACAGGATTAGCTTTGTATTTGACAAATGTAGATGAAATGGACATTCTGGACACCTAACATTAGCAGAGACTAAAGCACACTCTCAAACCACTCTTCTTCTTTTGTTAGATCATGGTGTCATTTCCTTGTGTGATCTACCAAAGCAGAAACCATCGCTGGTTTCTGATGGCCTCTCGTTCGTTTAGTTTCTTATATTAAAATGAGCACCGTCATTAGGTAGTGCTTTCGTTTGAATAGCTAGCATAATCAGCGTGCCCCACCTTTGTTTCGATTCAGTTATGGCGGCTAAGCGTAAACCAGACGGTGGCTGGCGGAGTTGGAGGGGCACAGTACAGGCACACAACAGCAGCAAAATGGCGCTTGCACGTTGCTTGTCTAGTCTTAGCTGTGTGTGTATGTGTTGCCATCAAGGGGGGGGTTGAGAGGTCTGGGGGGGAAAGTGGGGTGGGTTTGCACTTGAACATGGGGTTTTCTTGGGGTTCGTCTATGAGGGATGGGGGTGCTGGGGGAAGGTCTGTCTGTCTGGGACAGAATGGAACCCATTAAAATGTGTGTATGGGTGAGTCTGAGTGTGTGTGTGTGTGTGTGTGTGTGTGTGTGTGTGTGTGTGTGTGCTTTGGGGGGTTAACGGGGAAAGAATAGTGTCTGGCTTGGCCTATGTGTCTACGTGAGAGGCTGATTTGCATATTCAGCTTACCCTGACTGCACATATGTCATTCAGCCTAAACAGATGCGATGACACGTCGGCAGGTCCCCCCCTCAACACACACACACTCACACAAAACCCCACCCCAAATAATAACGCCACGGAATAAACCTGACGCACGACGCCACTACCAACGGCCGCTTTAGCATTCTGAGGCTTCACCCGCTGTTCAGCACCTCAGTCAGCTTGGACTTGGTTTCTCATTTGCTTGCTGGTACAATAAGGTGATACTAACACCACAATGCTACTGTATCCCCCTCTGCACAAAGGAGAAAGCAAAAGAA